AACACTCATTTGTCTAAGTAGGTGCTCTGGTTTGTCTAGTAATTTTTATTAATATGACTAATTTAACTGAGGCCAAAAGAACCTTGTTGATGGTGTGTGTTACTGTATTTAGTGGCCATTAGACTTGAGACATGTTGTTTTAACTTCTGTACACCTCAGGTTTCCTCGTTTGTATAAAATGGAACAGTGATGCCAGTTTCATAATGCCTTTTTAAAAATTTGTTGTTGAACACAATACTTTTATTTTATTTATTTTTATGTGGTGCTGAGGATCCAGCAGAGTGCTCTTACGTGCTAGGTGAGCTCTCTACTGCTGAGTCACAACCCCAGCCCTTCATAATGTGTTTTAAGGAGTATTAGAACATCACTTTGGGGGAGAGAACTGACATGTAATTATTTAGTTAACTAGGAGGGACTTGTTAATGATACTATTACCAAGTCTATAATAGTTACCAAGAAAGGCAAGGGGGAAAGAGGATAGAAAAAAATTAGGAACATGAAATTTCTGCAAAATGATATTTTATTATTGTATCTTGAAAGTGGGTAACTTCAAAAAACAGGACAACTTTCCTTAAACTCTTAATTGGATTACAAGAACACAATTCTGGAGTTAGGTAGTCTCAATTTGAATCATATTTGATAGATATGAGAGGCTTTGTATCTTAATAACTTAGTGATCTTAGGCAAGTGACTCAACCTGTCCAGTCCCATTTCTTCTTTTGCAAAAAGTATGTTGTCTGCTTCAGCAAGGTTTTTGGACCACTCAGAAGTAGTCTTGGAAAAATGCAGAGTTGAGCCTGGCACTTGGTAGGTGTTCAGTACATGGTCCCTGGTATTTTTGCTACATTTGACTTTTTTCTTTTTAAAGGATTTTTTTTTTTTCCTGATAATAGAAAGAAGGTAGAGAGACTTCTGTTGGTTCTCATAGGAAAAATAGGGCAAGTGCATTAATAATTCAGAAAGAAACAAGATGGCCTTCAGGTAGCCTGTGGCAGCCTACCTGTGCTTAAAATTGCCTCAATTTGCCAAGTCTGGAATGAGAATCTTGCAGCTTTTGTGGATTACATGGGGGCAAGGGCCAGACTGCCTGTATCCTGAGGCCATCTCTGTGGTAGCCCGATAGACTAATTCACCAGTAGGAGAGGAGTACTGAACCCATGTGCAGTAGAGTTCTAGAAGCAAAGAATATTGGGTTTATAATCCTGTGAATATTAAGCATCTAATACATACCTTGTGTTGTTTGTGCATTGTGTGCTCACTATGGGCTAGGCATTGGGATTTGCAGAGATGAATAAAACATGAAATTTTCCTCAGGAAGTTGCTGACTGTGTTTCTTAGCATATCTGTTAGAAATGAGATGGGAAAATAAACAGACCTTTTGCACAATCACTGACAGGATCATGTGACACATGCACTTTGCTCTCCTGGAACGTTGCTTGGAGAGCTTTGATTTAATAGCTCTTTTTTGGCCACTGTCTGCACATATGTGTTGTCTCTGGTATGTGCTGCAGACACCAGGATGAGGAAAGGCAGAGGCTGAGTTGGCCCCGTGTCTTGTGTGTGTGGAGGTGTAGGGTGTTTATCAGAGGACTTTAGGTGGGAGTGGAAGGTCAGCATTTAAGCCCAAAATACTTTCTGGACATTTTTTTTCTGATTGAATTTTAGTTTTTTTTTTTTTTTTTTTTTAAGTAAATGTGCTTGCTTCTTTTCTTTTTATTATTTGAGGGTGTTTCTTCTCTAGATTTGATTCTGTTGCAGGCTTAAAAGCAGTAATTATGAGGCTAGCATTATAGCTTATCTGTAACAGTCCAAATTATCTAGTGATGATCACAGTCAGATGTGATTATAGTAACTCAGAAAGTAGCATTCTAGAGCCACCACCTGTGATACCACCTGCCCCATCTGCTGAGGCCACTTCTTCAAGGTTATTCCTTAGGACCCTGGGCCCCTTGTAGATGTGTTCCTCTCCTCTAGCCTAATGAGATCTGATCCCTGCCTGGATTGCTCACCATGAGGCTTTTATTTTGTGTGACATCCCATGTACAAAGTTTTGTATCAAAAAATTGTGTTTGTTTTTCTCAGTGAGATTATAAATTCTCAGTAAGAGAGCACAGCTCCCATTGTCTTTTTGTGTTTCCGTTCCCTTCAGCTTTGGCACTATCTTGTGTCAGATATACTCAAATCTTCTTCCATCTCCTTGAAGACCTGAGAAAGCCTGAGTGGTGTCTTTTGGAATTGGAGTGAGAGCAAGTAGATCGGTACTTGGTGGCTAGCAATCAGGAATCCTGTTTGACCAAGAATGACCTAGAGGAGAGGTCAAGAGGAATAAAGTGAAAATCACTTGTGTCATTCCAGAGGTGCGGTTAGAGGAGCCAAGACAAAACAAAAAGACTCCAAGGCAGCAGCACCTCTGCTTGCCCATGCCTTGCGGATGATGTACCTGGATCAGTGACCATCACTCCTGCCTGTCAGCTGTGGCTGCTGATGGCCACCCATCTTAAAGCAATTCAATTTCCTTACCAGCTCCAACCAGAATTTGGGATTGATTTCTTAGTTTCTGTGTTAGAGTTCCCCACTAATCTCCAGCCCCACCAAGTTTCGGTGACTCACTAGAAGGGCTCACAGGGCTCAGCAAATAGTCTTACTCATGATGATAATTTACTCCTTCTGCTAAAGGATAACAAAAAACACAGACAGCCAGAGAGAAAAGTGAATTGGGTAAAGTCCGGGGGAGACTTCCAAGGGCCTTTTCCCAGTGTAGTCACACAGGACATGCTCATTTGCCCCAGCAACAAGTTATAACAGCACTTATGAAACACTCATCAGTAGAGCTAACTAGAGACTCAAGTGTCCAAGATTTTTGTTGGGTGTGTCAGGTAGACACCCTCTGCTTTGCACATTCCAAAATTTCACATTCAGGTGGAACACAGGCATTCAGCATAAGCAACATCATTTTCACAAACAGTTTAGGCACAGGGGTACACTTGTCAGAGAATGGTAGGGAGCCTCACAAAATCCAAGTTTTGGATGCCAGCCAAGGGTCACCTTGCAGGCAGACTTCCTAAGGGTAGGTGTCTTAGGTGTGCTGTCTTAAGTCATTTCTGCATAGCCTCTAATTTGCTCTGGCCTTTCTACTTAGCATTTATTGATTTGGAAGTGCAGATTCCTATCAGATAATTTGAGTTGTTGTCTTGTTGGGCTTTGGTCTGTTGCCACTTAGGGAGAAACTTTAATTGGTCTTCTGCTTTGGGGACATTGTTCTACTTTAGGCTACCTGCCTGCAGCATGTGAAGTGCTTCTGCTGACAGTGGACTTGCCGCTTGCTTTGTCCTTTTATCATAATGACTCATCCCTTTGCCCCATTGCCCTGCTCTAGTTGTCAGACTTCTGTCCTGGCAGCTTTTTTCCTCTGTGGTTCCCAGGCAGGCTGTCAGGCCTTGGGGTGCTGATGCCACCCTCTGGCCCCACAGGCTCAGACACATACCTGCCCCATGTTTGAAGCTGTAGATATGATTGAAATTGACTTTCATTTAAACCTGTCTTACCATTTTGAAACTGTTCCTGGGAGTCTTGCTTTGGGTTTTGAACCTCTTTGCCTTTAGGTTTTGCCTTTTTGTTTCTGTTTCTTTTCTTCTTTAGCTTTCTACTTTTAGTTACCTGGCCTCAAAAATTTCACATGATGACAATGGTTTGGGACTAATTTTTAAAACTTTCATCTCCTTGTTCTTCTCTGGGCAGATCCACTACAGCTAACCTGCTCCTCTGTACATGCTGTTGGTGCCCAGAGGTTCCAAAGCAGTGCTTCCCAGGGGTTTTCCAGATCCTCAGGGCCATCTCATTCGTTCTGGCCTCTTAAATCATGTTTGTTATAGGTCATATGTGTCCTCTTGCTTCTGTCTTAAGCTGATTCATTTACACTTGTCTGTAAGGTGACCTGATGGCCTATTTTGAACTATAGCTCCTATTCCATGGTCCTAGCTGAAGCTATTGGCAAACTGATGAAATACGGGTTGACTTTGTCACTGATTATGGCTAAACCAAGCTGGTTGTTTGTCAACTTGGCAGTTTCACTAAGTATACCTATTCTTTAGGATCCTCCCCCAACCAAGGTGATGTGGTAAAAGCAGGAACTCACCTGTCTTAAACTGGTCGATTACCAAAGACTTCAATTTCGTGTATATCTTATTGCTGAATAGCACAGAGCCTTTTTGTTGCAATGATTCTCTAAAGGTTGTTTTTGTTTGTTTGTGTGTGTGTGTGTGTGTGTGTGTTTTAGTACTGGGAATTTAACCCAGGGACACTCTGTCACTGAGCTACAACCCCAGCCCTTTTTACGTTTTTAAGACAGGGTCTCCACTAAGTTGCTGAGACTGGCCTCAAACTTTTGATCCTCCTGTTTCAGCCTCCCAAGTTGCTGGGTTTACAAGTGTATGCAATTAAGCCCAGCTTAAAGTTTAAAGTCTTATACTTGTTTCTGATTTAAGGACTGCAGAAAGATGAATCCAGGGGTTGAGCTCCCCAAGTCCTGCAGCTCAGAAGAAAAGGGCTGGTGTGATTGAGGAACTGAGTTTGAAGTTTCATTAATTTCACTTCACTTAAATGGTCACATGTGGTAGTGGCTTCTGTATCGGACAGCATAGTGCTGGAGTCGTACAGGGAAAGGGTTCCAACGTGGTCTCCAAAACCTTGTTCAGATCCTTGCTCTGCTGTCTGCCTGTTGTGCCACCCTGGGGGTGCTCCTTAACTTCACAAGGTTGTTTTGAGAATTTGCTATATTCCTCATAAAGGTTTTAGAGGGGTGCTTGGCAGGAAGTATGAGTTTAGTTAATGTTGGCTTATTATGTTTATTCACTATTTTGGAGTGAAATGGTGGTAGAATTCATATGGCATATGGAACTGTTTTCTTCTTTCTTAAACTTTTATGTTTTCTTTCTTTTAACAAGAGATTCCTTGTTTTGTTTTTTTTTGTTTGTTTGTTTGTTTATTTGTTTTTGCTTTAGGTTGCTGCAGCAAGTGGCCACACAGTAGTGTTGGTGGACCAAACAGAGGACATCCTGGCAAAATCCAAAAAAAGTATTGAGGAAAACCTTAGGAAAATGTCAAAGAAGAAGTTTGCAGAAAATCCTAAGGTAATTTCTTGTTATCTTTGTCCTTAAGACTAGTCTTCTCTTCTCACTCATCACATTTGTGAGGGGTTTCTGCTCATAGTTTACTGTGGGTTTGTTGTTTTGTTTTAAGTTTGTTTTTGGAAAACTCATTTCTTCACAATTTTAGACCAGTATAATGACATCATCAGTAAGCATTCAGGATGTGCTGATTAGAAAACAGGAGAAGTAAGTAACTATATTGTTGTTGGGTAGGATTTGAGGTTGAGGAAAATATTTCTGAGGTGGTAAACTTATTCTAAGGAAGATCGAGAATTTGGGACTGAGGAACAGCCATTTTTTCAAAAGAATAGAAGAGGGAGAAATAGTAATATTTTCTGTACTTGAAAGGTAAAACAGAATGATCAAATAAACATTATGTTTAGACGGAAACTTTTGATATCTTATATGCCTTCTTATGATAAACTAGAGAGGGCAAATCTAGGATGAGTCATTCTCACAGAACCAGGAGGAACTGTTAGGAGGCTGGGAACTCTAGCTTATTGACTTGTTCTTATTGGACCTTGTTGCTTTTCCAGCACATTTTGACTTGGGAGTTCACATTTAATTAGAAATATTGCACAAGTCACCCATATGAATGTGTATTTCCTTTGTCACTTTGTTAAAGTTACTTAGATTGATTACCTGGAGGCTTGGTTGGATTTTTTTCTCCATATGCCCGTAGAGAAGATTATAAATAGGGAATTTGTTATTTGTTGCTTGTTGCCTTTTTAAATTTCATTATTCTTGTAAAATACATATGACATGAAACTTGTCATTTTAATCAATTTCAAGTACACAGCTCAATGTCATTAATTACATTCACATTATTATACACTCATCACCTCCATCTGTTTTGAAAACTGTCTTTTGTTTTTAACCAGAAACTCTGTCCATGAAGCAGTAACTTACCATTCCCTCTGTCCCCCAGCACTGGTAACTTCTTATCTACTTTCTGCCTATAAATTTGCTTCTTGCTTGTTCCAGATGCTTCATATAAGTGGAACCATTTAATATTTGTCTTTTGAGTCTAGTTTATTTCACCTAAAGTAAAGTTTTCGTGATGCATCCGTGTTATAGCAAGTGTCACAATTTCATCCCTTTTATGGCTAAATAATATTCCATTGTGTGTATATACCAGAGTTTGCTCATCCCTTTATTTATTGATGAGATTAAGAGGCTTTCATTTTTTGGCTATTGTGAATAATGCTATAATGAACATTGTTGTTTTCATTTCTTTTGGATATATAGTTAATTTCTATATCTATGGGTCCCACATCTTTGGATTTAGCCAATTACAGATAAAAAAAAAAACTCAAAAAATGTGTTTTTACTGAGAGTTATTCTCTGAACAATTCAGTATAAAATAATCTAGAAATGATATACAGTATATGGAAATAGGTATGTAGGTTATATGAAAATACTGTGTCATTCTATGTAAGGATTGCAGTCTCCTCAGGGGTCCTGGCACTGACTCTCCTCCAGCCCTTGTCACCAGTATTGGGATGAATGTGTATGTATAATTGGAATTGTTGGGTTATATGATGGTACCATATTTAGCTTTGTGAGAAACTACCAAACTGTGATCCATAGTGACTGCCTTGGTTTATATCCCCACCAGCAATGTGTGAAGGTTCCATTTTCTCTCTATCCCAGGCAGCTCTTGTTTTTTCCTCCTTTTTTTTTTTTTTCCATCATAGATATCTAAGGTGTGCAGTAGTATCTCATTGTGGTATGATTTGCATTTTTCCTAATGTCTAATCATCTTTTAAAAACCGGAATTGTAGGCATGGAGATAATTTTATTCTCTTCTTGATGAAATCCAAAGACTAAATATCATAAGCAAGTTAAGATCTCCTTTACTTGTCCTTCATGTTCTCAAACATAGTGGGTGTTATGTTGAGGGTTCAAGCAGACAGTTTATGAGAATCCTGCTTGGGTTAAGAGTTAGCAAGGACAGAGTATGTCTGAACCCAGACAGGCTACATTTGCCCTTTTTCTTTCACTCTGCAGAGGTCAGCCTTGGGCTGAGGCTGTGGCCATGCCATAGGGGTAAAAAGATGTCCCGTATGCTCAATTTGCTCAGCTCCTGATTGTTAACTCTTCAGAAGTCTAGTCTGATGTTTTCTCTCCTCTGCTGGGGTCACCATCAGGTGAAAGAGATGTCAGTTTAACTTGTCTGGTTGACATACTTTTTAACCAGTGCTGACCAGTATAATAACTACTAGTTATGGGTGACCATTGAGCACTTGAAATGTAGCTAATCCAAATATAGTCATGCTCTAAGTGTAAACTAGACACATATTTTAAAGACTCAATAGAAAAAAAATGTAAAGAGTTGATTACATGTTGAAGTGATAGTATCTTAAACTTAAATAAAGTTGATTTCATCCCTTAATTTCTTTTCATTTTAATCTGGCTAATAGAAAATTTAGAATTATCTCTTATCTCACAATTGTGTTTCTGTTGAACAACTGATCTGGCTGTTTATTCCATGATGACTTTGGATGATTTTCTCATTACAACCGTTACAATGCCCTATGGACAAATTACATCTTGAAATAAAATGGCTGCTTATAGAGGCATTGCTTCTGTTTCTGCCCCAACTGAGGTCTGTTTGTGGAACCTGAAGTCACAGGATAAAATGAGACTACAAGATCTTTGAGAGCAGAGATGGTTTCTAGCTTGTTTTTGACGCATCAGTTGCTGGCACATGATGAGTGATTATTTTTTTAATATGTTTATTTATTTTTATGAGGTGCTAAGGATCAAACTCAGTGCTCACACGTGTGAGGCAAGCATTCTCCCTCTGAGCTATAACCTCAGCCCCATAATGAGTGATTATTATTTGACTGCTTAGTTTGGCTTTCCTCTACCTTCTATTAGAGGGGAGTAGTCTGCACCACTTCGAGATGGATGAGTAGTGCTGAGGTAAGTTTTTGTCCTTTTCTGGAAAGACAAATAGCAAGTTTCATAAGTATTCTGAGAACAAATAGTACAGTAGCTGTGAATAGCACTCCGTTTAGTAACTGGAGCAAAACTAAGAACTGGATAGATCATTACCAACAGAGGACAGTGATAGTTGTGCCAGGCATATGGCAAATGCAAAGAGTCTGGGTTTAGTACCTCTCTGTCCTGGACACCAATACTCAGCCCAGGCCTTTTATAACTCTATCTGCCTGGGACCTCATAGCTGTGCCCAACTGTTCACAGGCAGACTGTGACCTGTCTAGAATTGCATCGAGATGCCATTGTCTCTAGGCAGAAACACAGTTTGATTTCTCAGGGTGTGTTCAAGTTGTGTCTGAGCATGTTGGTTTCTCCAGCCCTCCTTCCTTCTGTTTTAGGAGCAAGTCCCACCATTTTCCTGTGAACCCCGTGATTTTCAGCTCTCTTCTGTTTCCTCCCACTGCATTAGGCTGGTGATGAGTTTGTGGAGAAGACCCTGAGCAGCATATCAACCTGCACAGATGCAGCATCTGTCGTCCACAGCACAGACCTGGTGGTGGAGGCCATCGTGGAGAACCTGAAGGTGAAGAACGAGCTCTTCCAAAGGCTGGACAAGTTTGCTGCTGAGTATGTGATCCTTGAATGTTCTTGTCAGGTTCTGAGGGCTCCTTCCCTGGCCTTGAGCATTCCTCCTTGTTTGTTGTTCTGATACCAGGACCACTTCTTTACTACCTTGCAGCTGTTCCAGAAGAGCCAATACCGTTTCCTTTGTCTTCCATTCACCCACTCCCAATTTGCTTCCTGAGGCTTGGGCTACCCTGACCTGATGCTTGTTTACAAATGAGGGTGAAATTGCCTGTTGTTAAGTGGACAGGTCCATTTAGGGACAGGCCTGTATGTTCTTTGCAGCATCCAGATCATGGCCCCTCCGTAGTGAGAATGGAGGAGGCTTCAGCACGTCCTTAAGAGTCTATCAGTTTCGTGTTTCTCTGTATTTGGGGTGAGCAGACAGAATGTTGTCATTAAAGGGAATGTCCTTCTGTCTGTATAGTTCCTCAAGACTCCTCTATTTTGAGTTTTTTCTGGGCTCAGTGAAAACACTCTTGGGAACATTTAAAGGAACACTGACTCCTTATCGGCTTTCACGGCAAAAAAGAGCCACCTGAGTTAGGTGTAGGCTTGCACAGGACCCGGGACTGTTCAGGCAGTGGCATCTCTGGATTTCCCTGAGAATCCAGAGCTTTTTATTACGTTCAACCTTTGGCATTTGGTGATTGTGATCCCGAATGATTGATTTGACATACTAATTGCCTTTATAGGTTAGACCTGAAAGGCAAAAATAATTCTCAGGGATCCACTAGTGAACAGTTGAGATATTCATATAATATCCTGCTAGAATGTCAACTCTCAGAGCTGTGGCACCTGACAGAAAAAAGCCTGTCTTCCTGTCATCTGTATATCACTCTGCTATCTGTGCCTTCAGGCTACAGAAATACCTGACAGAAGACACTCTTGGTACTGGGGTTGACTCCCAAGTCAGCATGGAGCCCTCCTGGATATTAAAACACCTGCCCCAGATAGGCATTTTGTCAAAGAATTTGACCTTTTTCACAAGACTGATCATTCCTAGCAACAGCGGCAGGCGTGACTGCTCTGTGGCTGTCAGTGGTGGGTAACAAGTACATGAGAGGAAAGTCAGGAGGCTGGACTTGTGTCAGCACCAACCACTTTATTCTCTGACCTTGGAAGATCCTCGATTTTAGGTTTAGGGCAAATAATTTCCAAGACTCTCAGTTACAACTCTCTAAAAGTGTCACCCTATCTGATGATAGGAATAGTGGCATGTATTGCACAGTTGTTTCATTCTTGTTTCCTGAGTGCCTGCTGTGAGTCAGGCTCGGTCACTTGAGCTCATGTAAAGCGGATGTGACACATGAAAGTGTCATGAAAGTAAAGGGATAACTCGTAGTAGGCCTGCTGAAGATGTGACTCCTTTGCTGGCCTTCAGCCATCCTTTTCTGCACTCGTTTTCATTTTAGTTTACCACCACTGTTGAATGCTTCCTAAATTGTTTTCTTTCTTAAGCACATTTATTGAGAAATACTTTGTTGCTGAGTTTTTATAGTTAGATCTCTTAGTGGGAGAAGAAAATAGGTTCAAGTGATAAAGTTCCCAATGGAAGCCCTGATGAAACAGCTGCATCCGGAAAAGAACATGACTTCCCCAGCAGTAGAGGAAACTCTAAAGGAAAAGTCGGTGGCAACTACAGGCATCTGGAGCCATGTCCTGGCTCTCCCCATTCACAAAGCCTGGACTCCGATCTTCTGCAATCACCATCACCCTCTCTTGTCTTGACACAAAGACCTGAGTGTGATGTTAGTGATCATCATGCTTATGCTGTTATTTTCTTTTAGTGCTTTTAAAAGAAAAGTAGTTTGGGGTATCTGAGTATCAGAAAGAGAAAAACAAAATACGATATGAAAGAGTCATGTGTTTCCAGGAAAATATGAGTATTTTTTGTGGAACATAAGACAGACCTGTGCTTTAATATGTAAAAATCATTTAGTTTGTCCTGAAGAACAGCAGTGTGAGGCTGTTAGGAGCTGAGTCAGCCTGTGCTGATGGGGTAGGGACAGAGGTCTGCTGGCAGGATGTCTGCCTCTTACTGGTAAAACATGCCCTGGACACACTGGGACCAAGCTCAGGGTCCCTTCATTATTTTACCAAGTTTGCCTGCATGCTGCCTTTTTGTAGAGGAGTGGCCCTTCAAATGTCCTAAAAATGTCTTGTAAATGTGGTACCTATCACATTATAAGTGTAACACTAGTCTTTGAAATAAACCTTTTTATTTCTTATTTTTGGTACTGTGGATTGGACCCAGGAATGCTTTGCCACTGAGGTATATCTCCATCCTCTTTTTTTTTTTGAGACAGGGTTTCACTAAGTTGCTTGGGGTCTTGTTAAGTTGCCCTGGCTGGCCTTAAACTTGTGATTCTCCTGCCTCAGGTTTCTGAGTCACTGAGATGATAGGCATGTGCCACTGAGCCTGGCTAAAGCTTTCTTTTCTTAAGGGATCCTGGGAGCCATTGCTCGCACAGCGCTGGGCACGTGCCCTCCCTGCCGACCTTGTGGTTCCAAGTGCCTGGCTGCCCTGAGTGCTGTGTCAGCCACACAGTGGATCTTCTTTCGTTACCTTCTCCAGTGGGGGATAGTTTACATTATTTTCCCCACTTATTAAAAAGCAAGAAACTTTGAGAACTAAAAATTTTTTTAATACTTATTTTTTAGTTGGGACACAACACCTTTATTTTGTTTGTCTGTGTGCTTATTTATTTATTTATTTGTTGTAACTAGACACAATATCTTTATTTTATTTATTTTTATGTGGTTCTGAGGATCGAACCCAGGGCCTCGCATGTGCTAGGTGAGAGCTCCACCACTGGGCCACAACTCCAGCCCAATAACTAAATTTTTAAAACCTTAGAAATGTCTTATTTACTTTAAAGAAAAGCCTCTCTGCCTGGCCTTTAAATTGCTTAACTTGAAAGTAGTTTGAGAAAAGTAGGTTTGCTTATGTCTTGAAAGGAAGAGCTGACCTGAGACAAGGATGCTGGAGCCTTATCTGTCAGCCACCTAACCCACATTGGCCTCTTCTTGCACCTCACTCTTCTCTCCAAATTATGGGTTTCTTCTTCCTTCCCCTTACCACCTCCCACCACTCTTGATTTCAAGCACATTGTAGTATTGTCTTGTAGGAAATCAGGAACCCTCAAGAATCTGGTTAGTAACAGAACCACTGCCCATCCTGTTCTGTGACCAGGCCTTTAGAGTGGTGGTGATTGACATTAGGCTGATTTATGTAGTATTATCCACAAGGTGGTGCTATAGGAAAACTGAGAAGTCCTGTCTCCAAGGATTTGCCTTTCCTGCTTTTGGAACCTCATTTGAAAATTAAATTTGGTTTAAGTCAGCATGGACTTTTGTAAAATTAACCAGTTGATTTATACACACAAAAGAAGATGGAACTTTTCAGGAGACATTACAACATATATCATGTATATTCATGTGTCCTCCCTTCCCCAAGAGTACCTGTGTAACTTTAATACTTCTTTAGACCATGTTTGTTTTCTTTTGTTTTCATTTTAAATTCTCATCTAATGTAAAGTAAGGATTTTTCACTTGAGAGGAAAGTTCTAAGCTTGTGTTTCCCATCAGATGTTTCTTGTTGGAGATTTGGGATATTTAGTTTTTTTGTTGTTGATTTTAGATATCCATCTTTCTTTTTTCATTAATTGGATCACTTTGAGTTTCATTTTGTGACTGAGGTTGGTTTTGTTGCTTGGTCAATTAGTTACCTTCTTTTTTTGTTCCTCATATAACATGAAAAGTAGCTAATACAAGTAGATTGGAGAAATTAAGTTCCTGGAAATTAAGGGAAGATTGGTAAAGATTACATGTGCCTTTAGAAAAGGTAACCTACTTAATTTAAAATTTTAAGATTTAAACAAAACTGAGGCTACTTAATTTCAGCCTCTTGTGTGAAGATGTGTCTTTTCCTTGATATCCTCGGCAGGTGGGGACAACAGATCTGGCAGTAAGCAGGTACCTTGGGCATGGCACCTGAGCATGTTGCTGCATGTCTCCAAAGTTGGGACTCATTCTGATTCACCATTTTTCTCTCCACAGACATACAATTTTTGCCAGCAACACTTCCTCTTTGCAGATCACAAGCATAGCCAATGCCACCACCAGACAAGACCGATTTGCCGGCCTTCATTTCTTCAACCCAGTACCCCTGATGAAACTCGTAGAGGTCAGTGGGTATCTGCTTGTGTCTTGCTCTCTACTACTTGGCTTCTGAGTCTCCTGGCCCTGCCACTGAGGATTATGTTGGATGGGTTTTAATGGGAGGGTGGAAGATTGTCCTGTGCTTGTGCTTCTCTTGTCCTTTTCAGGGCCAAAGGAAGAAAAAGCACCTAGAAAGGTGCCTGTAATTTGTGTCTTTACAATCCTGTGTTTGGAGGGCTATGGAATGCTATTGTTATGGTTGTGGCATTGCTGAGAAAGGTATCAATCAGTTTGGGAGGCAACACTAAAGACCACTGGCTTGATGAGACCGTGGAGGGGAGACCCACACACATTCATACTGTCTTGTTGAGGTCAGCTTGCTCTATGCTATAGATAGAATTTTTATTAAATCTCATGTACTACCTTGTCCACCATTCCTGGGGTGAATTCTGGCCCCATATGCCTTAAATTGTCCCCAGAGGAGGCATATCTCTATGTTGTGATCAGAACTGTTCAGAGCAGCTTCCGATAGCCTGGGAGCCTCCTGTCCACAATGTTGAGAGGTGGAAGTAAAGGCCAGGCAGGATTACCTATAGTGTTCCTCTTTGGGCTGCTTCTGCTTGTTTGCTTAGAGACTTGGGTGTAAGGGAGATGGAGTCACAATAGACAATTTGCACCTTAAATGTGGCAACTTGCTCTTTACTGGGGCTAATTATAGGGTCAGAGGAGCAGCTGCTATTAAAGCAGCATTTGTTCCGAGGTTGAGGAGTTATTGCTGTGTGAAGTGTGGGGGACGCTGCCTGTGTGGAGTCAAGGCAAGCTTCCAGAGACTGACTGTGGCCTTACTGCCAAAGTGTGGACTCAGTCTGTCTACTCACTGCGGCCTTCTTTCTCCTCCGCCCCCTTTCCTTCTTTTATTCCCTCACTGCCTACCTCCCCCAGTATAGCCATTTTGTAATCATCAGTCATAATGATGACTCTTAGACCTTTGTCTGAAGTGACAGCTCTGATGCTTCTTCAGCTTCTTCCAATTTACTCATTAGGCTGATTTTAAAGAAGTTTAGCAAAGAAAAATAGCATTTACTCTTACGCAGTAAAAGCAAAGAAATGGAATAAATTTTCAACATTTTAGTATGTAGGAACTAATTATTTACTGTATCATGTATACTTGTTTGGAGATAAAGACACTTTAACACACTCTGTAGAGTTACTTTAACTGCTAATAATGTTTCAACTGCATTTATCTAATACTGACTATGTCTTTAGAGATGTAGAATGTTGGTTGTTAACAGATAATGCTTAGCAAATGTTATTTTCTAGGAAACATTTTGTAAAAGTGCTCTATTTAATTTTTATTTTTTAGCTTCAGCTCTTATATATATGTTGCTGGTGGTGAGCACCAGAATGAATTGTGTGGTAAGCTGAGTGGCTCACCACCTTGGGACTGAACTTGTCGGAACTATAGATAGTCTCAGTGATATAGCAAGTACTGTATCACTGAGACTATCTATAGCACATTGCTATATGTTGAACACATCCCTCCCCTTTACAAGAACAGAACTTTATTGTTGACTCCTTTAACCCAATAACTTATTTTTAAGATTCCATAGTTAACATAGTTCCATTTAACTAGAATATGCCTAGCTCATTTTGTGTAGGTCTGATAGAGACTTTTCAGGAACAGCTTCAGGATTGCTGTTCACAGGGTCTGTGAACCTACAGGTCAGTTTCTTGTTGCTTTTGTCCTGCTCCTTGTCTTTGTCTTTCTGATGCTTGTTTCTGTTTCTACTCATTAACTTTACTCAGTGTCAGAACATGCCACCACACCCAGGCTGTGATCACCTAGAACATGAGCAGTCGTGATCCTTTGTTCTTTAACCCTGAATTGACATTAGCTCATTAAGCCAGGCACTTCTCTGGCCCTCCTAGGCAGGAGGACCTTTTTGTATGAAGATGCTCATTTCATAGGAGAGAGGTAAGGCACTTGCCCAAGGTGACATAAAGGATCTGATGTAAAAGCCATACCTCCTCACTTTAACTCTACTGGAAGTTCTTTACTGGCATTTAAATTGTGTGTGTGTGTGTTTAAATTCACCTGAGTCTCTACATTTACCCAAATCTAATTCCTTACAGGTGAATCCTATAAGTGCTTACTGGCAGTGTTCTTGGTACCACCTCCTCTCCACCTGAGTGGGGTAGCAGCTGTACCCTTGTGTGCACCACAGGGCAGGGAAGGAGGGCTGCTGGAGCAGGTGGCAGGACCTGGTCCTGTTGGCTTCCTCTTGGGAGGATTCTGTTCAAAAGCAAAGGGGGGTGTGGGCCCTAGGGCATCTGTGTGGGAGAAGGAGGAACAGTGGGAGGGTTTCACATCTAGGAGGCCAGGAGGAAATAACTCCTTGAGCAAATCACTCCTTTTGCTGGAGCTCTTTCTCTATAGTAGGAGAAAGTGAGGTTCTGTGCAGACAGCTCTAAGGGCAATCTCCACACTCTCCTACCCTCCACCACCCTGAATGACTACTAAAACAATAAGAAAAGCCAGCATTTCCTGAGCCCTTCATACCTGCTCAGAGCTGTGCTTAGTGCTTTACCCCCATTTTAATTTTTTTCTCACCTCATTGACATGGATAGATTGATTTTATTGTCAATTCACCTTGAAGAAACAGCCAGTAAGTAGTAAAACAGGGGATTTTTGTTTGTTTTGAGACATGGTCTTACTAAGTCCTTAGGGCCTCATTAAACTTACTGAGATTGGCTTTAAACTTGTGAATCTCCTGCCTCTGCCTCCTGAGCTGCTGGAATTACAGGTGTGTACCACTGCACCTAGAGCAACTGGTATTTGAATTCAGGACTATCTCAGTGACAGACCTGTAGAACTGTCCTGTACCCTCCCTCTGCCCAATACTTTCTCCACTTACATTGTAAGCCTTGATTTTTTTGCATTTTATAGTATTTCACTGTCTTAAAATAGACATTTTGGTAAACATTTTGTTTTTGGCTTAAGATCTCTATTTTTATGCTGAAACTAAAATTGTTTTTGCCATCTATATGGACCCTGTTAAATCAGTGTTTCCTTGAATCATTCTATGATTCATTGCACTTGTTTGCTGCTTTCCAGACATAATTCTTTGCTTTGCATTTCCAGGTCATTAAAACACCAATGACAAGCCAGAAGACATTTGAATCTCTGGTGGACTTTAGCAAAGCCTTGGGAAAACATCCTGTTTCTTGCAAGGTAGAGTATGGGTAGTCTATTTTCAGTTACTATGACAAAATACCTAAGGCAGACTAACTTCATAAAGAAGAGAGGTTTATTTAGCATACAGTTCTGGAGATTCAAAGGCATGGTGTTAGCTAGCATCAGCATCAGCTCATGGCTGATGGTGTCACATTGACCAGAGCATATACAGGAGGAATCATATGTCTATATAGGAAGCCAAGGAGAGACTCGGATCATGCCTAGGCTTTTTATAACAACTCATTCTTTGAAGAATTCATTCCAGAATACCAGTAATTCCTTCCAAGTGAGTTCCTGCAATAACCTAGGAGCCTCCTGCTAGGCTTCACCTCTTAAAGGTTCCACACCATCTCTCAGGAGACCAGGCTCCCAAAACACCAACCTCTAGGGAGACAAACAGCATCCAAACTGTAGGTAGCTTGGGAGGTGGTTTCCCTTGGAACCTGACTTAGTTCAGGTAGAATACTTCTAATAGAATGATATATGAGAGATGGGGCACTTGTTTACTGCAGAATTGTCCATGAGCCATAAGATCAGGTTGTACCTTCATTCTGGTTTTTGGGCTAGGAAACCAGACTCCTGACCTGTGCCCAGGGTCTTCAGGTGGATAGTCTTGAGATTCAAATAGATCTTAGGGCTCCAGCTGAATAGAAGACTTGGGAGTTCTCTCTGGGCCCTAGTTTTTGTCTATAGATAAGCAGTTATATTTTCATACATGGTTTTTGTGGCCCACTAGCTTTATCTGCTGTTGGCCCTTGTGACTCAGGAACGCTTTATGTCAGTTACAGCTTGCTGGACACATATATCTGTAACAGAAACCTATGAAAAGAACTTTTGAAAAGAACACTACAGATAGTTAGGGAAACAATGACACAGGAAGAGACCAACCTGATTAACCTGTAGCATTAAGGAAGTGCTTCTCTATAGAATGTAGCATTATGTTTTCCAGTGAGAAGCATGTTGAAGGGAAAGCAGGCTTGACCTTCAGTTTAAACCCCTTTTCCTAAGATACCCAGTTATTATTTGTAAAATGATCCCAGTTATTGGTGTCTGTCATTTTGATTACCTTCAGGTTGCGCATTTGACTTTAGTTCCCCATTTAGTTTTCCGATTACCTTCATTCTCCCCAAACTTAGGGACTATACTTCTGCATGACTTTGCAGTTTTTTAAAAAAAGGTACAAAATGCCACACCTTTAAAAGTTTTATAAATATAAGTTGTGACCTTTATTTGTCATGATTTTTTTGTATCTTTATGGTTCTTTCTTGGCATACTTTTCTAAAATAGTCTTACATTTGAACTTATAGTATTATATTAACCCACAAAAAGTCATATCATCCATGAATCGTCTGAACAAGACATATGTTGATGTAGGCCTCATTAAGCCAAAGACTTGTATATGCTGGTCCCCCTAGTCCACCAGTCTGGTGTTATTAGGAAGTCTCAGTAGTTTTTATTGTTGTTTTGCAGTATTGGAATTAAAACCAGGGTTTTACATATACTAGGCAAGTGCTGTATCACTGAGTGATATCCCCAGCCCCCACTTTTTTTTTCTTGTATTCAGCTACTTTTTTTTTAATTTTAAAAATTAATGTATTCTAATTAGGTATACACAACCGCAGAATGCATTTTGATTCATCGTAAACAATTGTAGCACAACTTTTCATTTCTCTGGTTGTACACCATGTTAAGTTGCACCATATGTGCAGTCATGCATGTATCTAGGGTAATAATGTCCATCTCATTCCATCTTTCCTGTCCCCGGGCCCCCTTTCCACTCTCCTTTATACAAAGTTGCCCCATTTTCCCCATGCCTCCCCTATGGATCAGCATCTACTTATCAGAGAGCATTCAGCCTTCGGTTTTGGGGGATTGGTTTACTTCGCTTAGCATGATATTCTTCAGCTCCACCCATTTACCTGCAAATGCCATAATTTTGTTCTCTTTTAATGCTGAATAATATTCCACTGTGTATATGTACCACAGTTCTTTATCCATTCATCTATTGAAGGGCATCTAGGTTGCTTCCACAGTTTAACTATTGTGAATCTAGCTGCTATAAACATTGATGTGGCTGCATTACTGTAACATGATGCTTTTAAGTTCTCTCAGTTAGACCGAGGAGTGGGATAGATGGGTCAAATGGTGGTTCCATTCCAAGTTTTCTAAGGAATCTCCATACTGCTTTGCAGATTGGTTGTACCAATTTACAGTCCCACCAGCAAGTTATGTGTGTGCCTTTCCCCCACATCCTCACCAAAACTTATTGTTGTTTGTATTCTTGATAACTGCCATTCTGACTGGCAAAGATGAAATCTTAAGAGTAGTTTTGATTTGCATTTCTCTAATTACTAGAGATGTTGAACATTTTTTTCATATATTTATTGATCGATTGTATATCTTTTTCGGAGAAGTGTCTGTTCACCTCATTAGCCCATTTATTGATTGGGTTGTTTGTGTTTTTGGTGTTAAGTTTTTTGAGTTCTTTATATATCCTGGAGATTAGTGCTCTATCTGATGTGTGTGTGGCAAAAATTTGTGACAGAGGACAGGGTTTGATGCCTGGTGGATGTGCTTTAGTTTGTTCTTGGTGCTCTCCAGGACAGTCTCTGTCATTGCTGATCTCCTGGCGTTTTGAGGCCTTTGAGCTGGTGTATCTCCTAAAGGAATCAAACCTAGTGCCTCATATGTGCTAGGCAAGTGCTCTACCACTGAGCCACAACCCCAGCCCAGATTAGAGCTTTTTGACAGAAGAGGGAGCACTGTTTACTTAGTGGAAATTAGCTTCACATAAACACCATCAAAACATTACCAATCTGACCTTCTCCATAAGCCCACCAAAGAGATCAGTAAATAAAAATCGAAATCTCATACTGATCCTTTTGGAGAGATGATTAAGTGTTGTACTCATGCAAAGAAATTCAGTGCCCGGAGTCATCCCCTGGAGAGGTGGCATGGTGCCAAGCTGTGCCATGAAGGGCCAACCACCTACCAGGGGACCTACTCCTTTGTCCCTGCACCTGTCCCGGACTCTACTGTGCTGCATTGTGCAAGGACACTGAGTAGCCCAAGAATGTGCCAGAGCCTGGAAAATAGTACTCCTTGAAGGATTGTTCTAGATGGAGTGATAATTTTTCCGAGGTTGCTGAAAGAAAAATGGGATAGGAAAGAAGAAAAGATTACATTGTCATGTGAGATAAAAATAGGTACTTTAAAACAAATTTGAAAATGTATATAGCTTGATAAATGTGGGCAACTTAATCCAAGGCAAGAAGTAATGATCTTCACAAAAGTGGTGACTTCAAAAAAGATGAAGTTTAATGAAAAGTCATTTTTCTTTTTCTCTTTTCTGAAATAGGACACTCCTGGGTTTATTGTGAACCGTCTCCTGGTGCCATACCTTATAGAAGCGATCAGGATGCATGAACGAGGTACTCTTCCTGAGCTGGACCGAGATCTAGATTTCTTATGAAGTGTGTAGAAAGCAGGGCCACATAGTAGAGGAAGGAACTGCAGTTCTCTAGCTGTGTCATCTTAGCCTCTCCATGGCCTCAGAACCTTTTTCATTATATCCAGGTCTCCCAGATTCTCTGTGAGGCCTCTAACAGGTGGCTGTGGGCCTCCACTGCAGTACCAGTCTGAGCAATTGCGTGGCTGACCCAGATTTATATCCTTGATCTTTGCCTTTGGTTAAAAGTATACTGCTTCAAACAAAGAATAATAATAATGTGAAAATCAATAGACTAGGGGACACTGAAAGTTCCTTTAGGATCTAAAAACTTGTATCAGAAATAAGTGTCAGAGCTGATATGTGATAAAGATGATTTCTAATGGCCCTGTGTTCATACGTATTGAAAGATGGCATGATTCTTTTTTTTTTAACCTCAAAAATGATCTAAGAATTTTCCCTCAATACTTGTTTGGCAAAGACTTTTCCTGTTGAAGAAACATAAAACGTGGGACGTGGTCCAGGGTTATAGTTGATGTTCATTCTCCTGCCCACCTTCTCTACCATTTTTGGAAAGGTAACTATCATATCTGCTTCGAAGGCAAGCAGTCTGTAATGGAACTTCATAAAAAGCAAGTGTAACTGTTTTCAGTGACATCGTTCACAAATGCTCACTCCCAGAAGAGTGTCATTTTTGAAACAAAACATTTACACCAGCTCTTCCCGAGAGATGAAAGCACATTTGCTTCCTCAAGATCTGCTTTAAATATTAACTTTTCTCTATGGTTTATAGAAGCAATTGCCTCACTTTTGCTCCAAGATCAAACCAACACTTCTGTGTTTATCTATCAACAAATATGCCTAATTACACCTCAAAGAAAGTGCAGCATTTTGCCTACCTTGAAAGGCAGTTGTATTTTTTTTTTTTTAATAAAATGTAATGTTTGAGAATGTAGCATGTGGTTGAGCCACCTCTTCATGGTGTTTTCCTCACTGAACTACACTGTCCCTTTGATACATTCTCCTGTATCAAGTATCTTATGGGAAGGTGAAAGCTGTTCTGTTCTGCTTCCCCAGCAGCAGTGGTCCCTTTCAGAACAGACTACCTTTGCCCTTTACCATCGCAGGCTACCTGTGGGGTGTGACAGAGGATAGGGTTTGATGCCTGGTGGATGTGCTTTAGTTTGTTCTTGGTGCTCTCCAGGACAGTCTGTCATTGCTGATCTCCTGGCGTTTTGACGCCTTTGAGCTGGTGCATCTCCTAAAGGAGCTGAGGTCTGGGTGGGTGCAGTTTTCCAGTAATCCACACTGTGGTCTGCACTCCTTATGTCATACCCAGACCTCTTACTACATCCCTTCTGTGACCTTACTGCCCCTCCCCTTCCAGCCAGCACAGAATAGGGCTCAGGTGCATGCCCACCACTCCGCCTCCATTCTCAGCTCTGCAGCTGGGTTGTCGCAGTTACTTGTTGACACCCAAAGTCTCTGGTTTCCCTCTCTTCTGTCTTCCACATCTGCTTGATTCTTCCTGTTGTACCTGCTCCCTTTCCATCCCAGCTCTCCCTCCTCCTCAGTGAGGCTTCATCAGGCACCAAACAAGTTCCTGTTACCTCACGTCTTCCTCAGACCTGTCCCCTCCACAGTGCTTGCGAAGAAAGTGCTGTGCTGTTGAGGAAGTTGTGGAGATGCTGTGTGTTGTATCTTACCCACAGACCCTGGCGGGGGTGTCTCAGACTCCAGTAGCACAACAAAGCCTCTGTAGATGCTCTGTGACTTCATTTCCCACCTCATTTGAGGGAAGCTTTTCTGTACCACACTATTGATATGCCTGGGCCATGGGATTGGCAAAGGCTGCTTTGAGTGGTAGAGGATCATTGGAAGGATGTGTGGGCTACTGTCTAGTCAGGCCCCCAGATGTTTGGACAGCTTTCAGGACACAACTAATTCCTGGTATTTATCACCCACTCCCTATGGGACTAGTGGAAGCCCATTGCCCTCTCTTGCCTTTGCTGACTGTGCCTCATGGCTCCTGTGTTGGGCCTTCTCATTGTCCAGCTCAGTACTCACTATTGCTCATTCCACTATGGGGAAGGCCTGGTGGGGGCAGTCAAGCACTATTCTTGTGGGTTGGAGGAATATAGATTGGATGGGCTGATGCCCAGACTGCTGTCCCCTCTCAGGTGCCCATAATGGTTTGCTAGTTATAGCTTGGTTGTGGACAACACAGTGAGCTCTTTACAAGAGGACTGTGCTGGGAACAGGTCCTGGGAATGTGATAATCCTGGCCCCCAGTCACTATAGGATGTTCTGTTTGTAGTCACCCCTTGCTCCAGACATGCACAGTGGTTCTCTGGTAATCCACTGTGTACAAACTGTTCTCACTCTCTGCCCCTGATGTTATTGCCACATACTTTACTCCCATGCCCCACCTGAGTGTCCTCTGTCTCCATGCTGAACATAATCTTTCATAGCTCTTTTTGCTTTGGCCCTCCTATGGTTGACTTGCCAATCCCTTCCCTGTGGAATGGCGGATGTCTGTCTTCTCTTGCCATACCCTTCTGGGGAAGTATCTGGGTCCTCCTCTTCTTCATGACCCCAAAGCACTTGCACAGGTCAGGTATTTGGAATTGAGGTAACTACTGATGTGGACATTGGGAGTCTTTGTTGGTAACGCTGAGAGTAGTTGGCAGGTGGTGCTGATGAGCTGCTGGTAGAGGAAACAATGTTGAGACCAGGCCCAGGTCCCAGTCCCCATCCAGGCAGATTTCTGAGTACACTGAGGAAGTTTTTCTTTGTTGTCTAGAGTTAAGGGCTCTTACCTGAGGGGAGGTGGAGGGGTCTCATGAACCCCCTAAGGTTGATGCAAAATTTTCTATGGGAGGAATGCCAGATTCTTAGAGAAGTACTTAACTCTAAAGAAGTTTAAGTATTGGGGCCGGGTTGTGGCTCAGTGGTGGAGCGCTTGCCTAGCATGCATGAGGCACTGGTTTCGATCCCTAGCACCACATTAAAATAAACAAATAAAATAAAGGTATTGTGTCCATCTACAACTAAAAAAAATTTTTTTAAAAGAATTTTAGGGATTATTGATCAATATGATACAACATTTAACTCCCACTTGGTCCACCAGTCCCTGTGTGTGTCTTTTATTTCTCTCTCTTCTTTTTGCCTTTTTTGCTCTTTATTACTCAAGACAGAACTTTTAAGAGTTGTGCTGACTTTGTAAAACTAGATTTAAAAATTTTTTTTTCATAATACACGGTATTGTCTTTTTGTTTTTAGAAGTAATATAGTCCTCAAGTGAGTCTCTGAATCAGGAATTACTATCTTGCCTAGAGGGCTCATATTCCTTCTTTGAGTATGAATTTGATTCAGTGGCTTTAGGTTAAGTGGGAACAATTGGGCTGTTTGTGGGCACTCCCCATATAAATGAGTCAGTAGAGAAGTGTTAGACTGTGACTAGGAATTGTAGAGACAGAGGGTCTAGGATGGTGGGAACCCTAGCCCAGAGTCCTGGGAGCTTCTCTTTTAGATGCAGGGAGTAGAGGAGGCTCTGACGAGGTGACACCTGAGCTGAGACCTAAAGAATAAGAGCTTCATGCTCCGGGCACAGGGAGCAGCTGTTGCTAAACCCTGAGATAAGGGTCTGTAAGCCTGCTACCCCCCATCATCTAGAGGTAACAGTACTACCATAGAAGTTGCAGGGTCTTGAAATCCTGAGTCAGATCCATTTTTGAGCCATAGAGCCACGGCTCAAACCTGCTATGTTCCGTCTCATTTTGCCACTTCACATGTTCTTCTATCTTCCTGTCTCCCCTCCTCTGGAATCTGCCCATCATTGCCCACACAGAGCCATGTAAATCTTCATGCAGCTTCAGCAATTGTTATATTGTCTTTTTGGTTTGCACATTTTAGTCTTCCCATTTTGTCATAAGTACCTTGAGTACTTGTTTTTCATTGTCTCACTGTACGTCTTTGGTGCCTGCTACACAATGGGTATAAATCAAACATGAGTGAACAATAAGGCCGCCTGATAAGGCTAATATACCTGATCTTTTCTGCTTTTTTGTGGCAATGATTTCTCAGAAGTCTTGAATCCTAATTAGTGTAGTACTAATGTCATGCACAGAAAATAATTTGAGTGGTGTTTTGTTCACCTTAAATTGCTCTGAAATTCTGCAGCATTACGTTAGTACTTTCTATACTTTTAAAAAATATAGTCTTAGGGCATTTTGGTGCATGCCTGTAATACTAGCAACCTGGGAGGCTGAGGCAGAAGGATTGCAAGTTTGAGGCCAGCCACAACATCATAGTGAGGCCCTAAGCAACTTAGAGAGACCTTGTCTCAAAATTTAAAAGAATAAAAAGGACTGGGGATGTGGCTCAGTGGTTAAGTGTCCTAGGTTAGATTCCTGGTACCTGCCCTCCCCAAATTACATATGTCTTTATAGCTTTTTAGTAGTTCTTGCTCCTTGTGCTTAAAAATCTGAATTATGAAATCCTGTTTTAACATTTTATTTAACTCTGAATATCATTAAACTACTTCTTTGTGCTTTGAAATAAAATTCTAGATAGCCACTTGTTATAGCTCATTCCAATTTCTGATTTCAGAGAAAGGATACACAGGTGGTTGGTTCTCTATAAAGTCCTCTTGTGATCCAAAGAACAGCATGTTACAGGGAAGTTTTCAAGGAAAAAAATTGTCTAGGTCTGTTCAACCCATTTTCATATGTGCATAGCAGTTTGTGAAAGCTTTTTGCAGCTGTGACCAAACATACTTAACAACTTAAAGGAGGAAAGGTTTAGTTTGGCTCATGGGTTTAGAAGTCCATAGTTGGTCAGTTCTATTGCTCTGGGTCTAAGATGAGGCAGGATATAATGGCACAAGGGTGTGGTAGAGGAAAGCTGTCAACTCATGGCAGCTAAGAGGGAGAGAAAGAGCGGGGGTTGCGGGGGATAGGATGGGACAGCCAGGAATAAGATACAGGAATAAGCACGCCCCTGGTAATCTACTTCCTCCAACCATGTACCACCTACCTATAGTTTCACTCCTCACCATAGGTCACTATTAATATATCAGATGGATTAATCCATTGATAAGGTCAGAACCCTCATGATCCAGTCACTTCCCCTAAGCCCCACCTCTGGACATTGCTGCATTGGGTACCACATCCTCAACACATACCTATGGGGGATATTTCAGATCTAAATCAAATAATTTGGACTTTTAAAAACGGTTATCTTAACTGATGTATTCATGGGAATGTGGTTCCAGGGGAATACTTGTTACTTGTGAAACAAAGAAAGCTAGAAAAGAAAATATATATGTGATACATACGAAAACAGAAACCTCTGTGTGTGTGTGTGTGTGTGTGTGTGTGTGTGTGTTTGCAACCCATTCATGAATAAAGAAATCTTCTGTAGCATTAACTGATATTTCAGGAAATGATTCCAGAGTTGGAAAACCCCAGTTTGTTAGGAAGTAGCCAGCATTTCCAGACCCAGGGCTTTGCCTCTCCATGAACAAACAGCAGTGCTCCAGAATTTGCCTCACACGATACAGTTGCTTTGAACATCTTGTGACATATTGGGCAAATATCTCAGATGAAATCTTACCCAGTTCAGAAAACACATGGACTCTAGACATGCTTTAAATGTAAAATATGAAATTTTGATTCTGGGACTAAACCCCATGATAGGAAGAATTTGGGGAAAGTGGTGGTGACTCACTGCTGCCCTTTTTCCTTAGGAGATGCATCCAAGGAAGACATTGACACTGCAATGAAGTTGGGAGCTGGATACCCTATGGGTCCATTTGAGCTTCTTGATTATGTTGGACTGGATACTACAAAGTTCATTCTGGATGGTAGGAATTGGAATCCTTTGTTGTTTTTGTTAAATTGAATTGCTTCACCGGGTATCACCATTTTGTGTTGCTTTAACAACACTGGGTACTTCATAAGGAAAAGAGGTAAGGCTGGGCATGTAGCTCAGTGATACAGTGTTTATCTAGCATGCAGGAGGCCTTGGGTTCGATCCCTAACACCACAAAAAAAAAAAAAAGAAAAGAAAGCAGTTTATTTGATTCATAATTCTGACTCATAATTCTGGAAAATCCCAACAGTAAACAGTAAGATGCTTGAGTTTGGCAAAGCTCTTCTGGCTGGGTCACAACTCAGAAAGAAGTAGAAAAGGCAAACAGTGGTGTGAGAAGGGACCATGGTGTGGGATGGCTTTGCATTGCAGTAGGCCAGTCTCTCAAGATGTAATCTAGTCATAGGAGACTTGCTCCCAAGAGACAGAATTCATCCATTGACCTAATTACTTTCCACTAAGCCCAATTTTTAAAGGTTTCATCACTTTGGCACCAGCACTGAGGACCAAACTTATAGCACGTGAACCTTTGGGGAATAAACCATATGCATACCTTAGTATCAGATTCAATATTTGATGGCAGGAGAAAGAAAATGTGACTGTCATTGTCCCTTTTTATCACACAATTTGATTTGTGGGACCTCCATTACAACCAAGATACACCACTGTTTTTTTAAATGTATCCACTTTAATGTGGTGACTCTGAAGACAAGATAAAAATAATTACTGAAACTGAACTGTTGAGGCTGGGGTTGTGACTCAGTTGTGGAGTACTTGCCTTAGCACATGTGAGCCACTGGGTTCCACCCTCAGCACCACATAAAAATAAATTTTTTAAAAAAGAAGGTATTGTGTCCATCCACAACTAATAATAGATAAATAAATAAAGCATTGGTCTAACAATGAGATTTTTTTTTTAAATGAATTATGGAAAGTAATTCTCTACTCCATATTTCACAAAAAGTTATATGCATTGGGGAGGAGGGGGGTTATAATTTAAGCAAGAAACTTGAATTTTATGAGGAGCAAAATTCAGTAGTAGGAAGTAATAGGAATTCAGATTTTCAACATGTTTTCTAAAAGTCAGCTGTGCTACTTAGGAGTCCAACCAGCAAATTAACAGGTTTTATTAGTTTTCTTGGACCTTTGAACTTAGTGATTTCCAGGAATTGATTGGATACCCAGAAGGGCCATAACAGGGCTGGGCTTCGAGTGGCACAGGTGGGTGGCAGCATGCCTGCTTTGGGGCTGATGTGGCTACACCAGCACATGCCTCAGTGCCTCATGCCTCTGCCATGGTGGCCTAAGTGGGCAACATGCCCCAGGAGCTTTCCCACATCAGAGTAAGGCCCTTTTCCCCAAGCTGTACTTCCAGAAGTGCCTTGGGAATACGGAGCACTTTGTCTCTCCTTTTAATAGGGTGGCATGAAACGGATGCGAAGAACCCACTGTTTCAGCCCAGCACATCACTAAATAAGCTGGTAGCAGAGAAGAAGCTGGGCAAGAAGACCGGAGAAGGATATTACAAATACAAATGATGCACAGCTTCTCTGGCTTCAGGAAGAAGTTTCGTGAGTGTGCTCTAACCAGCCCCAAGAGCCATGGGGATGCGCTTTGGTCAGGCAATCCCTCACTGTGCAGTCTGTTCAATGTGCATTTCGATTATAATTTGAGGTAATTATTTCTTTAGTCACAGTAATGGTAGATTCTTCCATTGATAATTAACTTCTTTTTTTAGTCTGTTCATTTCTATGTATTTTCTAAAAAACTTTACACCCTCAGTGCCTTGGAGCAAATGTTTCTTATGTAATACATTGATTGAGTCACTCAGAAAGGAGAGGCCCTTCCTCCCAGAGTGAGCTGCTGGCTTCATGTTGCTGTGCACTCCTATGAGGAGCCAGCAACGCACACTGTGCATCTGTGAGGAACAGCAGTCCGTGGTGCCTGCATCTTGCCTTTCTGAGAATATTTTGCTGCCTGCAGCTTTGAGCCTTATCCTGCATCTGGGTGTGACCTAAAATGTTATGTCTTTATTCAGCTCATCAAGACACTGTTGCTGGATTGGTGGGAATATCTGTGTATGTTTGGTTTCCAGGAAGACGTCTTTTCATGGTCATTCATATCTACAAATCCTAATCATCAAATCCTAATCATTACTCTCTCTCTCTTTTTTTTCTTAATAAGAAATCAGTGCTGCAAACTCCTGTAAATTGTCTTCTAATAAAATGCAATCTATTAATCTGTGAAAATTTGGAAATAAACATGTAATTTAAAATTATAAATGCTTAAGTTATTATAAAAGTAAAGGTTGACGATCCAGTCAAAAGCTATGTCTTATCTTCTCTGGCCAATTGTTATTTTATAAAGTGGCAGCAATGGTGAGGGAATGGCAGAAGGCATTTGTGTAAAGCCTGCCCGAGGCTGTCCCTTTCACATTTCTTACCAATAAAGTAGTAATAAGGGCACAGAGAATGATTTTTAAGGAACATCTGTTTCTTCTTTGCCAGCAAAGTGAAGTAATGTAACTTAAGCTTCTTTTAATCATTGGCTTGAGAAAGTGTCTTCCATGATAGAATTTAGGACTTGGAAAAACATCAGAAGCCCTGAGGTCCAGTGGCCTCATTAGCAGAGAGTTTAAGGTCACCAGATAATTTTGTTGCAGAATACAGATTAGATCTAGGTTTTGATGATAAAATTAAGTACAAAAGAGTAAATTTGGGGCTGGAGTGGCTCAGTGGTAGAGGGCTTGCCTAGCATGTGTGAGGCAATGGGTTCGATCTTCAGCACCACATAAAAATAAATAAAATGAAGGTATTGTGTCCTCTACAACTAAAAACAAATTTTTTTAAAAAAAGAGTAAATTTGAGAATCTCAAATCTGAACTGCAGATGGGACTTTTCTTCCAAATGGGCGCCCTTGCATAGTTGCAAATGGTTGAGAGATTTTTTTTCTTCATTTCATAATTGATAAAAGGAAGATTATTAATTTTAAAAATGTTCAAATGCATTGCAAAGTGAAAAAGTACATACATAATGTTTCTGCCACACTAGAAGCTTAGAAGCTTCCTAAACATTGCTTAACTAACAAAAGGAAGTGCCTGTACTGCCATGACCATTTTCTCTGCTCAAGGTGATCCTGTGGCCTGACAGTGCCCTGCTCACTCTCAGGTTGGCTCTTGATCTTTGACATGAACCATGGCCCAGAAGGGGCTTTACTTTCTCACTGTGAGCAGAGTGCACATAGAACCTGAGCCTTCATCCTGGAAGTAGCAGGGCTCTCTCTCTTGCCTACTGAATTCCAGGAAAGAGATAGAACTCAACACTGTGACTGTTGGATTGGGAACGTAAAGGATTATAGTAATCTTTCTGACTCAATTTTAAAATGCACTTTAACCTACTAAACAATTGAAAGAACTGGCCTCTGAATTTTGTTAGTTTTATTTCCAAGCATCAAGTTCAGAAGGAACCAGGAAGGAATTTTGAATATCCTTCTCTTAAATCTGGGACTTGGGGAGGGGCCTCCCTTCCCAGCTCCTTGGGTTCCACATTCTCAGGTGGGCGTGGTTCCTCCCAGGAAGAGCTGTGTGGCAGGATGGTCCATATATAGCTGTTGCCATTTGCTTCAGTGTATGGTTGAAAACCAAACCTGAACAAGAACCCCAGGCGCCTGTGCTTTCCTGGGCTGTGTTTTGGTTGCACTTGTTGAGGAAGGGCGAGTCCAGGCAGTGCCCTTGGGCCTCACCTCCCCACCCATGCTTCCTGACAGCAGCCATGAGTCCTCAAAACATTCTAAAGTAACTACTACCAGGTCTTAGCTCAGAAACATAGTTTAATTTTTCCCCTCTAATTCCTCTTCACGATATTTTTATTCCTATAGTAGAAGTGAACATTTGAAACTAAAACCATACAATGTATGAAATGACTTGTTAGAAAAAAAAGTAAGCCTCTGAATGTAGGTATCACCTGGACTATAGTTATCAGCAAAATGGAGTTCTCTGGGGAACAGTTTGAATAGTCATGAAGATGTCTTTGTAAAATAAAAATCATATTGTCCATAAGATTCACTGTTAATATCAGTTTCTCAGGAGAAATTGACACCATTTGAAAGGTATAGTCCTATTGAGTCCTGTTGAATGACAGTATGAACTGAGTGAGGTAAAGTGAAACCGGGTATGGGTACTAAGAAATATGGATATAGAGATCTGGTGTTGTAAAGTAATTTTATGCTGGATTTTTCTAAGTATCAATTTTTTTTTTTTTACACTAACATATTAGTAAAAATATATATAATTCCGAAATTCACCTGATATTCAACCACTCATCTTTGGATAGAACCAGTATCTTAGTCATGCCTTATAAAATAATATGACTAACTATGCTATTATACTGTTTACATATTTGAAACAAGCTTTTGTTTTGTCCCACCTTGATTTTAATCCCCTTAACATTTCAACCTAAGTAACTGATTAAATCTACCAAATATAAGGTGTGGCTATAATTCTATAGGACTAATTTGCTTGTAAATAGGCATCAGTGCTATATAAGTAGTAATGTATAAGTAGTTCAAAATGCTTTGAATGGTAAATTCATTGCTGTACTTCCAGAACTATACCTTGAAAGAACCCATGGGTTGTGTAAATTCTATCTTTTAAGTTACTTGATCTCATTGTTTCAGAATCATGGTTTTAACTGCTGAAAGATACAACCTTGTCATTGATACTAATTCAGTGTTTTATTTAAAGTCACCAGCTATAGCTGCTGCAGGATTAATCAGTCTAATATTGTGGGTTTTGAAATGAAACAGACCTGGGTTTTAGTTCTTAGCTTCATTTTTTTTTTTTTTGCCTGTATAAAGAGGTTGTTTTCTGAATATGTCTGGTAAAATGGGCATAACATTGGAATCTATCCTATAGGGTTCTGAGGACCAGATGAGATAATGGATATCAAGTATTGAGAACACTTTCTAGCAAAGATAGGCCAATTGCAAAGGAAGCAACAGTAATCTACAGGGTTACAGACAGCTTAGGTCTTACACCTGAAGAGAATGAGCTGAAGATTGGGAACAGGCCTGAATGTTATAGAAGGGAGTCTGAGAAGGGAAGCCATTAGGCTACCTGAGCTAAAAGACCTGTGCCCCACATTTACTTGGGAACGTCTTTCCAAGCCTTCAGAGAAGTGCTGGTCGGGGATAATTGAAGGAAGTAGCAAGAAGGAAATGATCTGGTGTGCTATAAGGTTGGTTGTCATTCAGGTAAGTTATGTTTTATCTATGAGCAATAGACTAAATGATTTAAGACTCCAGAAAAAAAGCATGAGTGTTAGATGTTTTCAAGTCTCCTGACGTGTAAATTGAGAAGTAGTAGTAGTATAGGAGAAAATAAAACTTCATCCTATGACAATGTATTTTTAAATGGTACTAAGTGAATTTATAAAGATTATAGAGCCCCCTCGCACTAGAGTGGCCATGCAGGTCTTGCAGACGTGGAAAAGCTGTGATGTCTGAATATGGGTCTCCAAGCCTCGGCAAGATAGACACCACAGCCTCATTTCTATAGATGCCATTGCTAGTGTATTTTGCCAGATATTAAAGAGGAAAACCTCCTGGAGTGAGAACTGTACTTCCTACTGTCTCCTTATAAACTGGCACTTAGAAACACCATGTATAAGGGCTGGGGCAGGGGCTCAGTGGTAGAGTACTTGCCTAGTATGCCTAAGGCCCAGAACTGTAAAAAAGGAAAATTGGTTGTAGAAGTCTGGAAACTGGGAGCCTCCAAAACCAGTTCTAGGGGAAGAAGTTTTTGACACTGAGTTTTCTACTTGAGGACCTTTGAATGATGGAATGACGTGCCTCATTTGGGAGCCCTGTGGGAGTAGCATATGCTTCTAGGAAGGTGATCTTCTAGAGTCCTTTTTTATCCTTAATAGTGAAGTTGTAGGGAGGTGAGGATGGTGCAGAGCGACCTTTCTCTCCATCATGTTGATTTGTAGGACCAACTAGAGGTGAAGTGGAAAGGCCATTGTCCAATGTGGAGGTCTAGATAGCTAGTAAGTAAGTAGCTCATACACATGCCCTAGTCTGAGAAAGCTACTCTTCCAGCAGTTGGTCTCATGGTAGATTCTGCCATTGTTGGCCATGGTGTTCTTACAAAATCATAGGCCTTAGGGCAGGGGACTAATACTTAACAGCTGGACTTTTTCTGTTGTTTTGAGCATGTATGTACACTAGGGGCTTGTGGTGTTAGAACTAGTTTTTGACATCCCTTTAGTAAAATCACAGTTAATCCCAAATGCAGAGTCTTCAGAGGATGGCACATCTGATTGATATATTTTGCAGCCCCCATCTCTCCCCTTGGGACCGTGTACCCCAGAGTTCCTGTTGATGCTTGAACTAGCCCCGCCCCCATCCCTATGGGCTGAAGATATCCAGCCTGAGACCAAGTCCTAGAGAGAAAGGCCTGAGGGGGAGGACAGAGATAGCTGTTCTAAACAAGTTTGAGAGAGCGGCAGTGACCAAGTGTGCTTCCTAGAGGTTGAAAGCCAGGCCACTCCCTGGAAACTGGGTTGGTCTCTAGAATCAGGTGCTGAGAGAAAAGCAGTCCTAACTAACAGGAACCTGAGAATGCCAGCATGAGGCACACAGATGGGAGGGCTACAGGCACCTCTGGGCTGCACTAAGCAGCCCTCGCTTTGTGGAGCAGAGAAGTGTGTTCCAGAGCTGAGCAGGAGGCAGGCTCAATTTGGAAGCCATTGTTGCTCTTTCCAGTTGAGCAGTGGGCGGCTAAACTAACTTAAGACCTGTAACAACAATCAGGCCAATATGTGGGACTCTGTTTTACTTCAGCTACTTTGTACATCTTCCTGATGGGAGAAAACATCACTACAGGACAGGATTCAATGGTTCCACTGAGCTCAAATTCTGAGACAAGTTAATGATGGAGAAAATCTGCTAATTCCACTGTGACTAGAAAGACAGTTTGTGTGTGTGTGTGTGTGTGTGTGTGTACATGTGATTACATCTGCTATGTGTATGCAGTGTTCTCATTTCAACTGGCAAATACATTTGCTTCCAATTTCTCTCACACAATGTAGATAAAAAGTTTAATTAATTAATCTAGCTGGTAACATCTCCAGCTACTACATTAAGAAAAATAATGTACACCAGTGTACATGATTCAAAATTATCCCAATTTTGCACCCTTTGTATAAGTTCTTCCTTGATAAAAGAGATTAGTTAGTCCTGGTTACTAACTACTTCCCTGGGCTGAAGAAACATGCTCAGATATCCTATGGTTATAGGCAGAACAAAAATGTCATTTTTTAGTAGACCCTGGACCAAAAAACCCCACGCAGTTTTCTAAAAAAATGTGTGTGTGTGTTTGTGTGTGTGTATAAACAATTTAAGGGAAAATTCATTTATTTGCCATTTCTTATCTGCCATGGGTCTTGTTTACCACTCGTTTCTTTGCATGTGTCCACTTAGCCCATGAGGAAGTATGCCCAAAGGGGGTTAGTGTGCAGAGCCCAGCTCTGGAACTTCAAACCTGGGCCTTTCCCACTGAGCCACCTTCATTCCTACTATAAGAAAGAGTCCAAATTACCCTTCAGAGAAAAGGACGCTTGTACGTTATAACAAATACAGACAGAAAAGAGTCTGACAAATAATGTTTAAAAAAATATTTTGTAGTGTGCAGTTATTAAAGCACAGCCCATTGTCAATAAAGATGTATTAGTACATTTATTTTTTTAGTACTGATTTATTATGACCTTTAACACTATTGATGAACATCATTAGCATAATTTCTTTAATAAAGGGAAGTAAACAGCTGGTTTTCACTTGAATTCTTCAGCTAAATTATTTCACTATTATGCATAAAATTTCTATTTAGGTTGATTCATGCCAAGAATGTTCATTTTAAATATCTACTCTTGATGTGTCCTTTCCTCCCCCATTCTCCCTGATCTACTCCTGGCTATGGAGTAAGATAATGCAAGTTTTCCCACGAGAGAGTTATATAAGTTTAGAATAGCAGCTTTTGGAATGATAGAAAAGAAAACTCAATGATCTTATTTTTTAAATGGCATGTAGAATCACATCCTTCTATTCATATTAAAATGCTTACCTGCAGTCAAATTTTATAATTTTTATTCAGAAGCATTTAAAATTTTCATGTGTGTATAGGTTTCACAGGGCAGCACCTAAAACTCCCTCAGCTTTCATGTGTGGAAGAGAACAGATTTTTACTTGCATTTTCAAGTTTAACCATAAATTATTAATTTATGTATATTATAGTATAATTATATATTATAGTATGTGCAGTTTTTTTTCTGGGGTAGAAGCGCTAAGTAGAATTTGTTAAGCAACTCGTATGTCATGTGACATTTAAGCTCTTTCCTGTTAGAACAATACGTAATTCTTATGACTTTTCTATAAAAGGAAAGCCACACAGACATCTCATTACTGCTTATGGGTTTTTATTGGAGATTTCCATATTGTTGCAGCCTTAGATAAAACTATAGGAAAAAATGATTATACTTAGGCTAGCTGTATACATCAAACAGTTGGAGGGCCTCTTCAAGCTAAACAGGTACTTGCCAGCAACCCTAGCAACCAAACTCAAACCAGGAGGAAAACAACCTTTCATAAGGACCAGCATGCCAGCTGTGACCTCAGAGAAGGCTCAGCTCCCAGAAAGAAGCCTGACCCATCCTCCTCTTCCTGGCACATAGTTCAACTCTTTGGGTTTGCTGCAGGGAATGGAGCCAGATCACTTCAAGATCAAACGGAAGTGGTGGCCAGAAGAGAGTCCCTCCCACTAGTCACCCTTTTCGGTCCATGTCTCTTGGGGAACCCCTGATTCTCCTTCCTCAGTACTGCTGCTGGCAGAATTCAGAAGTTTGGCAGAATGGCCAGGAATGGCCCTGTGCAGTGACGTCATAATTATTTAGGGAAAATTATTCTTGAACAAATATAGAAAACTAGGACAGGACCAAGCTTGTGGAAGGAAAAACTTGACTCAAGAGGGGTCAAAAAACCCATTTCTTTTAATATTGTATATTCAGCTTTTTGTGAGTCAAAAAATGTGGAAAGTTCAAGGAACCAAGGGAGAGAAGAGTTGAGTGGGCTTTAGCCAAGTCTTGAGTCAAAAAAGTTTGTATCTTGGTATCAGTTTCCTTGATAAACAGGTACTTATTGCCCAGAAGAGCTACAATTTTTTTTATTTTCTCCCGCCAAAAGTAATACTCCAATGACACCTCCTGCACCATTTTGTTTAGATTTTCTAGTTAACTCCCAGAAAAATCATGGTGGCAGCTTTAGATTGTTTTCCTACTCAGTTCATGTACATTAAGAAAACAGAGACAATTTTCAAATGAAGTCCTAGCTAGCCCTGAATAATATGAAATTTTTATAATAAGTAGGTACCCCCCCCCCTTTCCCTCCCTGGTTCAAGTTTAGGACTAAGTGAAGAGGAACTGGAGAGTTTCCAGAGGATAGTAATGAAAATGATTAAAGGGCTGATGATGAAAGGTTCAAGGAATTGGGATTACTTAGCCTGGAGAAGAGAAATTTGAGGGGTGATTTAATGGCAATGTTCAAGTACAGTATGTGGAGGGTTATTACAAGTATGGTAGTCAGCTGTTCCCCAGCTGTATTGAAGGGTGGAAAAGGGAAACAACTAGAATTTCAGCAAGTGATTTAAGTTAGACTGGTGGTATCAGTGATTCCCAAAGTAGCTCAAGGTGTAGAAAACCACTGTGGAAGACCATGAAATACTGTTTCAAACTTAAAATGTTTTTGCTATATCACATACCAACTTATACATTAGTTTAACAAAAGCTTATGGTAAAATTATAGAAAACAAACTCTAGACTGTGAAAATGCTGCCTGGGAAGATGAGCTGGGTGAAGACTTTCCTTCACCACGGGGACCCCATGATTTGGGGAGCCCAGGCTGGAAACCAGCAAGTTGTGAAGAGGAAACAGCTTGTCTTCAGGAAGGGACTCACTACCATCTGGATCAGGTGACTCTTTTTTCTGCTGACCCTGTTTTATATCTATACCAAGCAACGAGGGGAGGCCTCAGTAGTACAACTGCTCTTGAGGATGCAGGCCTAGGAGATAGGTGAAGCCATGCCAGCAACACCCCTCTGACATGGTCTGCTGCTGTTCACAGCCTCATTCTGGCCTAACCTGTAGATTTAGTTCATTTCCAACTCTGATCATCAGGAACTTTACTCTTAATAAAATGACACTTTTAAAAAAATGTTTTATTACAAAGCTTCTTTTAAAAAATGCTCAGCACGTTAACTCAAACTGGAATGACAAATGTTAGATGACAATTTGGGGCAAAGGCTGTGCCTTGCTATTTAAAAAAAAAAAAAAAATGGGTACATCAATGCTCATTTTAACAACTGGCATAAAATCCCACTAATTGGCTAATAAAAACAGATACAAATACAGAACATTTAAAGTAATAACAATTCAAGTGCTGGGCTTTTTACAACAAGGGAGTGAAAAGGAAAGAAATGAAAATTCACTGCAAACCAGTCTGCTGACAGTATCTGTTAAGGTTTACCATTTAAAAAAAGAAAAAAAAAAAAAAAAGTGAGTGAAATAGGATTGCCAATTGCTACCAACAGTGGATTTGGCTATTATGTTTATTTAGCTCTATCGAACACCTTACAAGGACAGAGAGGCCATTATTCATTACAGGCAATTCACAGAGAAGCCACTTATTAGACAAGATGTCTCAGAAGAGGCTTCTTTTCATTTTGTTTTTATTTCAAACTTTTCCAGACCTTTGAATTTTTTTTTAAAGCTCATAGCTAGCAAAATATACAGGAAAATTAAAACTAAGAAGTGTAATTTTTAAAAATTCAAGTTTAAAAAAAAAAGAAGCAAACATAAGATTGATCTTTTGCACTGTTAAATAAAAGCTTTTAGGAGAAAGGAAGAGAAAGAAAAATGAAGACAGAAACAAAGGGGGAACTCTTCCACAAATTCCTCCACTGGGGTGCTGATGGATGTGCTGGTTGCTGGCTCCAGTTGTGCGTGGCAGGCACACGGAGCCAAGTTACTGTCCTTGCCAAAAGGTACAGGTATGGACGCAAGATGCTCTGGGACGTGCACTCAGAGACGAGGGGAGAAAAGCTGCTCAGCTGACCGGGGCCTGCTAGCATTCTCATGTGCTTTTTAATTTCTTTTTCTAAAAAACAACCTTTTTATGCTTTCTTTTGGAAATTGGCTCTTGCAGTAGACAAAAGGTGAGTTGGCAGTGATTGTCTCTATGGATCAGCGTCTCTAGCAATGACCTCAGGGTAACGTTGGTGTCAGTGCTCCTTTGGGGTCGACTGGGCAAGCCGTGGAGACAGTCTGGGTTTTAACAAGCTTCCATCTCCAGAAGAGGTCCTGGGGTCGCTGCCTTGGCTTTGCACGTTGGGAATGAGCTTCGTTTTCCACCTCGGAAAGAAACAAATGAAATGCTATTAATATGAATTTGCCACTGGCCTTTAAAAGACTGTTGTAAATAATTTTTATTACATACAGCATATGTAGACTTTAATTCATTCATTTTGTTGCTTTGATGATGGCTAAAATGGATTGCCCTATGGTAGCCAAAACCCCTCAGAATTATATCACAAAGTATAGTGTATTGAACATTTTACTTTAGCTCCACGTATGTGTATGTACAGGGATGTGACTTGAGAGGTATTTAATGTTGGGTCATGGTTACATAACACATTTAAAAACACCAATAGGAAGGGGCCAAACATGAATTGGAAAGGTGGGCAATACAGCCAAACCAGGGAAAGGTTTGTCTTTTTCCCAAGTGTTTGGTGGTTTCAGTCCACTGAGGGGAGCCATTGTAAGATTCTACGCAGGACTAAAACAGATTCAAATTATCAGATGTGTCACCAACTCCCTCAATAGCAAGCCCAACACAAACTGGATGTACTGTGTCCACTCAGTCACGGTTCAAGGCACGTAAACCTCTCCACTTTTCCTTCAGGTGATGCTATCCTCAGGACTGTTTCCCCC